ACAAAACGCCTGACGGAAGCAAAGGGAGAAGGAAAATGGGACGAGAAAGGCGGAAAGGAGGAAGGAAGGAGGAAGGAGGGGAGCGATAAAGAGACCTTGAGGACTTGCGGGGTGAGAAACCCACCGACCGCGGCGATGCCTGCCAGCTCCACAAGGCGCTTGGGGGCCTCCACCTGAAGGCGTGGAGGGGAGGGAAAGAGGGGAAGTAGGCGAAGCGAAAGGGGGAACGACAACCGCAGGGCAACGGCGCGCACGGGGAAAAGAGGGGACGCGACGAATCAAGGTCAGGAAACTGCAAAGCCCGGCTGTCCAATCTTCCACAGACAGGGACTCGAGGAGCACGTGGAGGACCAACGAGCCACGTTGACCTTGCTCTCTCCCCCAGGCTGGAAGAGAGCAGGTCTCACCGAGTATCCTCCCTCGCTCTCCCCCTGTCCCCCGACCTAGAGGAGGTCATCTCCCATTTCCCTCCTCTCCGCCCTCCTGACACACCAAGGAGAAGAGGGAAACAGCGTCCATCTTTGATTTTACGCACCTTTCGGTAGATTTTTGCCTGTCGCAATGCTTCCTCTTCGTTCGTGGCCGAGGCCGGTCCCGCTTCCCGCTGCAGCGCTGCCTTCTCCTTGCCTGCCTCGTTGTGCGGGTTGCGTGGGCCCCTGGACTCTTTCGCGCCATTTTTTCCCTTCTTCTTGAGTTCCTGCTCTTTGGCCCGACGGTTGCTCTCCCGGAGGCGGCGGCGACGGGCTTTGGGGTTCTCCTGAGAGAGGGAAGAAGGAGGGAGGGAGGGAAGGACGGAGGGAGAAAAAGTGGGAGGGAGGGAAGCGGAAAGGGTCTCGGACATGGTAGGGGCCACTTGCCCCTCGCTTTCCTCCTCCTTTCCTGTCGTCCGCTCCCTCCGATCCTCCCCTCTCCAAGACAGCACATCCTACTTCAAGCTCTCATCATGTATCGCCCTGCTCCTGGTCCCAGTCACACAGTCCTAACTTGGCTCACTCTCATCGCATCACCTCCCCCCCCACCCTAAGCATACAGTGCGTACCCCCCACCTTACTTGAACCACCCTCCTATCCTCCAGGCCCTCCCTAAGAAACCTTTCCTCGAAAATAATGCCCTTGACAGCCTTCCTTCCCATCTGCCCTATCTATATCCAGCCCCTTCCTCCTCTTCTTCCTTCCTCCCTCCACTTCGCCTTGCGCCTCCTCCTCATCCAGTCATCGCCTCCCCAATGCCTTGCCTTCCATCTTCCCCCCCTCCCTTCCCCCTTCCCACTCGACAACCTACCGTAAAAAATTCCTGCTCCAATGCCGCCAAATCCGCCTCTGAAAACTCCAATTTTTCGTCTTCTGCCCCCAATCCTTCATGTCTTTTCCCCTCATCTTCCCGCGCACTCGGGTCCGCCGGCCTCGGCTCCCCCGCCCCCTTCGATGCCATGACGCCGGCATGGCGCTTGGGCGGTAGCCACATATTTCCGTGATGGTACAAGACAGGAGACGACGGGTACGGGTAACCTAGGAATTGTGGCGTGGAAAAGCATAGCTGAAAACCGCATGATCACTTTTTTGTGGTAAAGGTTTTCATGGTGGGAGGGTGAAAAAGGGAAAGCAAGAAAAGGTACAGAAAAAAAGCATCCGGCAAGAGGCCATGAAATGGTCGTCTCTACATTCGTATTTCGGCGTAGAGGAGACTCACGAAGGAGAAGGGGGAGGTACAATAAACACTCACCTCGACATTGATGGTGCAAGGGCTGCTTCTGCCCTGCCCGTGGTCCTCCTATTCCAAGCAATCCCGGCCCACTGAATCCACGCGATTGAAAGGCCCCAACACCGGCACGATTCAATGCATACAGCGTCCTGATGGCCCACAAACCTAGTAAGGAGGAGCACCGCCGCTTATGCATCGCTTTCTCACGCGTCGTCCTCCCCACAGCCACTGCGGACGGACACCAGCGAAAAATGGCACAGTAGGGTACTCAAATCTTGTAAAGGTGTGTTCTGAATATCACATTGTTACATAAATGAATGTAGAAAGAGTACTCCATCATTATTGATCGTGACACTTGCCTATGCATTACGCTTCAACTTTCACCGCCACCCTCAATTTTGTCCAGCCCCCCTTCTTTACATCAAGAAAAAATCAACGTTGTCAGTATACACTGCCGTCCAGCAATGAGCCGTATTCTGACGAATATTGTTGTTTTGATGCCTCTTGAGTGCTACAGCTCGCATTATCTGTCGGTGTTGGGCTCATATTGAGCGGCAGTACGCTCTTGCAGTCAGAGTATCGCCGATGCCTGGAGGGCACTTCGCATGTGTACCTTGAATGACACAAATGTAATTTTAACCCGCTCCCACGCTCCTCACACGCAGACTCGACGAAATAAATGACCACCAACTCCAACGATGGGAGCAGCTATGGAAGCTCAGGTCCTTCCAGGCCACCAGCATCACCTCCCTCCCGTGTCGATGGGGAAGAACTCGCTCCCTCAGCGTCCCGCCCCTCCCCGCTTTGCTTGGATGGGGAGGCCACTGACGCCGCCGCAAAAATGGAAAAGGAAGATGCTGCTTCGATCATCGGCGTAGCAGGGGCCTCCGGAACGCCTTCGTTGGAGAGCACCGTGCCGGAAGGGAATACGACGGAGAAGCCTCCAGAGGAAGACGTGGATTTGAGTAACTTGATGACCCTATTATTTCAGCATCTTCGCACTGATGAGGGTCGGGCTGAATTCCAACGCTTGGTCGATGCCGAGGAAGCGAAAGAAGGCGCAGAAGAACGCCAGGAGGTGAAGGATCGGGAAGAGATTGACAGACCGAGAACCGAAGGTGGAGACGCGGAGGACGGGCATGCAGCTTCGTCGGTTACGACCGTGGAAAGCACATAATTCTACGTTTCAGACTTTCTAGCGTAATGTTGTAATGAAGAGCTTTGTAATTTTGCTTTACACAAAATCAGAAGCAATCGAGCTTGATGGGTGGCTTTGAGCCAGCGAAGCGAAAATTGCATGTACAACCACAAGAGTATGCGACGATCTTTTCTTTTCTTTGTCTCCGTAGATAATGAAACTATTAATATGCGGGGCTTTTTGTAGACATGATTCCCAGAATATAATCGCATTACGACCTAGAAGCCCTTCCCGATGCTTTAACGCTGCGTCTACCACTATCACAGCTGACAGAGATGATGACGCTGCAAATGGTTGTATTCTAGGTCTTCCTCGCAGCGACGTGTGATTAAAATCTATTTTTCGTTCACACGATGAGATATTTTTCGGGTTTTAAAACTAATTACCCTGAAATGGGAAATGGGACAATTCTTGGAAGAACGAAATGGGCTCTGCGCACAAAAAACTTTTCACCTTCGCGCATCAAAATTACGGGCTCAGAGTCGATCCACCCTGAAAGAAGCGCCATCCATGCATTTTTCTCTACTTCATGTCCATCACGTGCTCCAAATTTAGAGTATCGTGGCTTGAGACTTACTTTACCCTGGTGCTATTCACTGGTGCATGGGCCACTGATGTCACCCCAAACGTGTCAGTCTCAAGTAGGAACACATACCGTATTCACATTAAAGCGATGTCAGACCGATTTGTAATGCTTCGATTCTTATCCACTATCTAGGCAAAGACCATACAAGCGAAATAATTTGGTTTGTTTTTTTTCTTCTCTTTTTTTTTTAACCTCCCCGTACCGCCGCGCCTGCGGCGACGCAAGGCTGCCCTCTGGATATTACGGGATCGTAGACACAGAGCACTGGGAATACTTTTCATCTCCTTGTCGGACTGAGTTCATCGTGGACAGATTTTTCTACAAAATAGGAAACGCCTTGGGAAACTTTAAGAGAGGTGAAATTATTTTGAGTTTTGGAGCCTCCGCATGCCTTCCATTGCTTTACAACAACCTTCAATTGCCCCATACCCGAGGACTTTTCTATTTAACAGCGCTGTCTTTTTTCTCACTCGTACGCAATGATAATAAATTCCACCGCATCTAGGCCTTTGCGAGTTTCAAACTGCTTTGACCATCCTATACTTTTTCTGTTGTGGCGCCACCCTTCACGAAGATCGGCGGCGCATGTCTCCTCCTTCCCCCCGAAATGGAAGCAACACAGAAAGGCAGTGTCCGACGACGAAAACGCAAGGTCAAAGGCACACGCACGCAAGATTGAAAATCGGCGGCTACAAAAAAAATGGAAAACTCGCCCTCGTCTTCGACCCCGAGGCCCGCCGGGAATATTTGACTGGCTTCAGCAAACGCAAAAAAGAACGGAGGACGTTCGGTCTGGCCATGCAACAGGTGAAAAATCGGAAAGCACGGCTTATGGAAAGGGAGGAGTTGCGCAAGGCGAAAAAAGGGGCTTTGGATGACTTGCCGGCGTCCATAAAAGGAGCGGAACCCTACCTCTCAGGGACAGCTCTGGCGAATGGAAAAGAAAAGGAGACAATGGAAACAAAGGCGAAGGAAGAGGTATATGACGACCGATTCACTACGGCCACATTTGGGGAGTCAGTGTTGGTCACAACCTCTTTTGGCATTCCATCCGGTGACGAGGAAGATGAGGAGGGAGGGGTCCTCGCCATGGTCCGAGAGGAGAGGAAAGGCGGCGGAGTCGACAAAGAGCAGCTGCAAGCAGGATCGGTGGCACATTTTAAAAAACTAGTGGCGGGAAAAATGCCTGCGAAACCGAAGAAAAAAGGTGGGAAGGAGAGGACGAAGCAGAATACGTCGGGATCCTACATGCCCAAAGGGAAGGGGCAGGGAGAGGAAGACAAGAAGACAGGAAAGAAAAAGAAGAGAGGAAAACGTTGAGATTCGATGGAAAGAATGTCTGAATAAGGGTGAGGCTTGAATGATGTGTAAATGAAGGGTCAGAAATTGGAAATTCAGGGGTGAAGCTATGAGCTTTCATCACTGTCGGGCTGTCGCCGCCATGAAAAAAATGTGCAGTAATGACAAGGTAATGCAACGTCCTCTATCGGTTAATATGATGGTAAAATCGTTGCACGTTCATCTTTATAATCCTTATATTTTACCGCAAATACTACATTTCATTCTATCTTTCGATCGGTGGTACATAGGGGTTTGTTTTGACTTTCTCAATGTCGTGCTTTCTCCGTATTTATGCACCTGAAATCTGGGGCTTTTGATTGACACTTTCATGCCCTATGCCAGAAATATGGACGCATTGCTTCCATATCATCATAATCATTAGAACGTTTTCCGGATATTCGGCAATGCAACTGCCCTATGGCTTGACCGAGTGCGAAAGTCCAAAAAGTGGACTCGGATGGCGCTCAAATCGATTTTTTTCATTCTATGGCCAGAACTTCCAACTCCACGGTGTTCCTTCGCGTGCGTGTGTGGATGGATAACATTGGCTTGTCTTGAAAGAGCCCGAGCAATGGAACGGTGATGTAATTTAGGTGAGTGGCTGTAGAGTAGTAGAGAGGGGATGGACGACCAGGAGTCGCCAGACAAGCGAGATACCTTGCTGCAAATGAACCTCACAGCGACCCTATCGCCGTCCACTCTCCACCGTCCACAGTCCACGTCTACGTGTCAACAAGATACCCTTCTCCCCGACGGCATCCGTTCAATCAAGCGTCTCTTCCCTTTCGGTGGCCTCGCGCGTTCGTTGACCGGCCTGGGCTGCGGCTGCAGACATAAAGCGCAAGGAGGAGGAAGACCTTGAAAAAGGTATCATGTAGGTGCTCGCATGTTAGACAGCAGGATAACAGGCACCATACTGGTGTTACGAGATCATGATCGACAGTGTTGTTGACACGCAGCCTAGGGGGCTGCGAGGAGCTGTTGCTGGACGCTGAGTAGCTAAAGGGGATGCAATGGCTGTGTGGAATGGAAGTTTGTCAACCATAAGCATATTTAGAATATGCCTGAAGGCAAGGACAACTATGTATATAACCCTAACAGTGTCTATTGCTCCTGCTCCCAATGGGAAAGAGCACATGTAAAAAAGAGAGTGACAAATGAAGGAGACAGGAGGTTAAAAAGGTAACAAATGGAAACACTGTGCCCTGCTCACAAGAAAGATAAGACAAATGCGCACAGAATAGAGTTTCTAGCAAAAATGAATCGAAATTTAAACTATAAGGACAACTTTCCAATTAAAGAACGAAGGACAAAGGCGCTCAGGCGCTCACATCCCTGGTTTGGGCGGCGGTAGCACTGAGCTCTCTCGCTCGTGAGGCGCAAGCCCAGCCCCTCAGTTCTTTGTCCTTTGTCCTTTAGGAACTCATCAAAAGCCTACTGTGGCCCTGATACGACCTAGCAAGATTTGTTTCAATCGACACACACATCTATTTTTTGGACACGGATGCCCTGATCGGGCTTTGCGAGTCCGAACAATCTCTGCGAGTCATCGGCCCATACCCGGAGAGACAGCCGGGTACTCGTAGCACTACAAGGCTTCCATATTTTTTGTCACGGGGGCGACAGTGTCAATCACGGAATGCGCTTGTCATCAGTATAGCTATAGGAGAAATAATTTCTAGATCCAGGACCTTTTCAACTTCATGCGTCTGTGATGAAACGACGGACATGATGTATTACGGAATAGGCGGGAAAGTCTTGCAGCCCACCCCACGGCACGTATAGTAAATAACCCCACGGAAGGCCTGACATTTTCTGAAACAACGGCTTATATCGCAAACATGCCTTATACAGAACAAAGCAGGGAGAGGTATCTCTGAACGCATGGAGTGTGCGGATGGTGTTTGTAAATTCGTCCCTCGAAGCCAGCGCGGTGTGCAGATAGGAGGGAATGAGGAAAACGTGGAGCCTGCCCTGCCTCCCGTTTCGGTCGGTGACAAGCCTCCGATGCCACTGATATTCGAGACCCTCGAAGAGGGGGGGGGGAGCTTCAGTTTGCAACGTCTGTGCGCGGCAGGGGAGGATGGAGGTCGAGTGGTGGTGCTTGGTGAGTCAACCATTGCACAGGGAGGATGGCGGGGGGGGAATAGATGCAGGTTGGCGAGCAAAGCAATGCGACGCAATCATTTGGCTTCAGAGAAAGTGGTTGTCTTCAAAACATCATTCCGCAAGCGCGTTCCCATGCCCAGACGTTGAGGACTTTTTCCCCCCGCCACTGCCCCTTTCATGTCGCGCGCCT